TAATACTTGCAACGGAATGCAGCCTCTATGTTTAATGTAGAATAGCAAGTCGTAATCACATCCGACATCCAACATACGACAAGCGTTTAGCGACATCCGACAACGACATACGACGTATTGTAGAACGGGCCAAGACTCGTTCTATAACACGTCGCATGTCGAGTCATAAACCATAAGAATCGACCAATCATAATCGAATATTCGTATTATAATCGTTTGTGATTGGTCAATTTGTACGGCTTATGGCTTACGACACGACACACAACGTATTGTAGAACGAGCCTTAAGGTTCATCTACAAAAGAGTAGTGAGTCATAAAGATGCCATTTCATGCGCAATGTGCAGTCGCAGCAATTCATTACTATTGGTTTAAAATGTTATTTAGATGACGCAAGATGGTGCAAAATACATTTTGCTGCATCTTATTGAAGTTCAACCAAACGAACAGTAAAAGCGAACGAGTAGCAAAGCTGAAAAAGCCGTGTCAGCCTTGTGCAAGCCGTGTGATGTTATAAACTTGTGATATATATAATAATAGAAAATATAACTCATCGTGATATGATATACAACAGAAAATAAGTATAATGAAAAATTGCGGAAGTACGGAAACATATTTATGATTAATTTATTTTTAATAAGTTCTAATAGATCTAATATATGTATACGCGCGATTGATATCATCTTCAATCTATCGACAGCGAAAACGTAAATAACAAACCGCAATTATAACTTTTTAAACTTGGTTATTATGAAGTAGTTTTATATTGTAATTTAAAAAATTATTGATTATTAATAAATAAAATAATGAGCTATGAGCCAGAGCAGGGTTATTTAATTGTCAATATAATAAGATACGTTAAAATGCAATTATACAATAGATATACCCAATAGATATATTGCTATTTATATTTATATTTATATTTATATTCATATTATATTATAAATTAATGTTAAACTTCAATATGTTGCTGCAAAATTCTTTTTCATACGCAACTGTAGCGCTTGGTATAGGGAGACGACTCGTACACGGATTTAAGATCGGAAGAGC